TCTCTCTCTCTCTTTCTGTCTCTCTCTCTGTCTATCTCTCTCTCTTTCTCTCGCTCGCCCATGCAGGACCTGGCTTGGTAGTGGTGGCCGGGCCCGGGCTCTGAGAATGCATTGCGCGGTAAACCCTACACCCTACTTAAACCCCTAAACCCTAAACTCCAAAAACCTTAAACCCTGAAAACCCTAAACCCTAAACACCTCAAACCTTATAAAAACCCTGAACCACCCAAACCCTAAAGATTACACAAGTGTTGGTTCCCAAAAGCTTAAAAATCATGAAGCCTAAAACCCTCAAACCCTAAGAGGCCCAAACCCACTCAACCCCAAAAAGACAACTCAAACCTTATAAAACCTTGAGCCCCTCGAAAGCCTAGGGCCTTAAGGCCATCTGAATCCAAAGAACTCTTAAAACCTTAAACCCTCTAAACCCTAAAACTCCTAAACCCTAAAACCCCACACCCCAACACCCTAAAGCCTAAGAACCCTCAACCCCTCAAAACAAAACAGTCAACTCTCCAGGCTCTCAGCCCTGAAAACCCTTAGGCCCAAAACCCTGAACCCTGGGCCGGAAACCTTAAGCCCTACCAAGTTCCACACCCTCCTCTGAGGAGGGCCTCCCCTGGGGAGGTAGTAGCTATTAGAAAATCCTCCACTCAGGAGGCACCCCCCCCCCCCCGCCCAGAGAAGCAACATCAACCAAATCCTCCCCAACATTGGAGCCACCCCAACCTGTTAAAAAAAAACTTTTTTTAACATTTTTTTAACGGGATTTTCCTTTAAAAGTAAAGGCAAAGCCCGTTAAAAAATTGTTAAAAAAAAGTTTTTTTTTAACAATCATCCCTGCCCATTCCTAGGTCTGTTCATCGGCAAGGGCCAGGCACCGGGGCTGCTGCAGCTTGAATCCTTTGAGGATTCGAGCTCTGAGTTTTTAGTGAGGGTTGAGGGTCATCCCCTGGGGATGCTTGCATGCATGTGGAGTGTCAGACAGCTGCATCCATGGTGAATGTGTATGTCCATAGGCATCATCAGTGAACCCCGTTCGGCCCGTAGATTGTCCCGGCCAGCCTCAGCGAGCATCATGGGCAAGAAGGCTTCTCCCGTTCCCAAAAAAGCTGCAGTCAAGAGCATTGCGAAACCAAAGGCGAAGCCCAAGGCGAAGCAGCTTCCAGAGAAGCCGACTGCAACCACAGCAGACGATCGAAAGAACATGTCTGGCTTCGTCACGTCCATGAAGTACAAGCAGACTGCCCAGAACAACAAGCACAGCACCATAGCTCAGAAGTTGCTGGAGGCCCTGTGTTCTGAATGAATGTGCTTTTGCTTTTTGTGTGTCGGCTGTTTACACGTGTACATGCATGTCGCTGTGCCCTGTTCAGAAGTACAACACCTTGGACAACGATGGAAAGAAAGAGATGGCCAGCAAGTATTCCGAGCACGGGCCCAAGGACTTGACGTGGGCGGCGGCATACATCGAGACGAGCACTCATGACGAACAAACAGAACGAGAGAAAATCAAAGGCATGTGCACTCGCAAAGAAATTTTGGACATGGAGGGCATTGACACGGAAGGCATGCCAGAGAAAATGAAGGAGGAAATCCTGAATGAGCTGCTTCAGCAGTTGTGGGCCCGACTCAAAACCGACCCATCCAAGGACCCCAGCCTCGTCGCCGACCACCGCATTCCCCAGATGAAGAAGTACTACTACGAGCACGATGCTAAGATCAAGGAACGGGAAACAGACACTCGAAGCCAGTCCATGAATGTACAGACCACTGGCTTCAAGATGGAAACCGCGCAAAAAATGCTCACCCATGTCGAGTCCGACCCGAACATCAAGATTGAGAACCCGTGGCATGTAGAGCTCATGGTGAAGGTAAAGGCTGTGTGGCAGGCTAAGGGCAAGCTAGATAAGGAGGAGACCCTGCTCAAGGACACTTTGGCTGACTTCGAGACGGCCGTGCACGGGAAGGCTGGCTTCGACAAGATCGTCAAAGAATACGAAGTCAAGCTGGGAGTGCTCACCACGTTCCTCACCGACCTGAGAAAGTCGTATGCCAAAGTCAGCAAGATCGATCCTTCGGATGAAGCCTTGTGCAAGACTGCCTTGGCTGAGTGGCAAAGTTTCGGAGAGCACATGTTGATTCACCAGGAGGGTGGTAAGCAGATGAAAGCCGGCATGAGGGCATTCATTCCCTGAGGGAATTACTTTTGAGTAGCAGCCATGGCATTTTGATCGTAGCCGTTGCTGAAACAAAGCCTCTAGCATCCCAAGGCCTTGGAATGTTGACAGTTCGAGCACCGAGGTGTGTTTCTTCGATTCGTCGTGGACCCACAGTTTGCAGCTTATGCTCCAGTGCGAAATACCTGTTCTGCATGCCTGCCTGCATGCCTGTGTACATGTCTATACAACAAAACCCAGCTGTGTACATCTATTATATATACACACATATATGTTATAGGTATATAGACACAGTTCCGGAGGTGCTGGTTCTCATGGCCCCCGATTGCGCGGATCTGGAGGAGAGACCTTCCCTGAAAAAAATGTTGTATCAATGCTACCATGATGAGTGCGAGTTTCTTCATGTTGGCTGACTCGCAGGACAAGCACAGCGACACAGGAATGAAAAAAAAAACAGTCGTGCTCCATGCCAGCTTCTCTCAGCGACGATGCCTGCAACTCTCCCCTGGGGATGAAGTGCATGTTCAATCAATGTACTCGCCATCGTTTGTCTCAGCTACTTATTAAGGTGAATGGATGACTTCTAAACCCTCAAGCCCTAAACACCCTAAACCCTAAACACCCTAAACCCTGAACACCCGAAACCCTAAACACTCTAAACCCTAAACCCTTCACCGTTCCAACCTTTCACCCTAAACCTTGTTTCACAGCATCGGTTGCTGTAGATAGTACAAGACGTCTGTTTTGCTTATGCTGTCCAAGAATGCTGTGTATGAGAGCCATGCTTCCAAGCATGACTTCGCTGGTAGAAGGCTCCGGGAGAATGTGGCTGATTTATTTCTATCAGGATCTGTGAGTGCGAAGCGAGCCAGGTCCCTGTATGCTGACAGTCAACAGCACGACCCCAGAGAATCCGCCGAGCTTGCCCAAGTTGCTGACAGCAGCCATGCTCACAGAGATCTTCTTCGAAAGCTGAAAAAGGACAAGAAATGGCCAGGTGTTTTTTGCACCAAAGTACCCTTGTGGAATCGCAAAACATGTGCAGCTGAGACGGGGCCCATCGAGATCATGCTGCCCCACGAGCTCGTCAGTTGTATTGCTCTGTGGAATAACCATGATGACAGCTTTTGGAAGCTAGACAGCTTGAGAGCAGCTTGTTCGCAGCACTTGGATAATGTTTCCAAAGAGCTGGGATTTCGGGATGAGAGACTTCTCCCGATTGGTTTATGGCTTGACGGTGTTCCAGTAAAGTATGACAGGTCGGAATCCCTCGAGGTCGTCACGATGAATTTTCCTCATGTCGGGGGTGATCTTGCTTCAATGCGATTTCCCCTAACAGCACTCTACAAGGGACACTGTGCAAAAACTTCTACTCTCGATGCCATTATGCACGTGTTGGCCTGGTCGCTCACCTGCCTTGCTGAAGGTGTTTTCCCCAAGTATGGGCCACATGGAGAAGAGTTAAAAGGCAAACGTGCTAAACTTGCTGGCAGGAGCTTGCATGCAAAGGGCATATTGGTGGAGGTCCGGGGCGATTGGGCTGCATTCAAAAGTGTTTTTCGCCTACCAGCTTGGTCTCAGACAGATGCCTGCTGCTACCGATGCCAAGCCAACAAGACAAATCTCAGCTTCATGGACGCTAGCAGCACAGCTCCATGGCGACAGCTTCCACTTACACACTGGGAGCTGGTTGGTAGGATTTTTGCAGCACACGGATCATGTTCCCCCTTGTTTGCATGTCCGGGCTTCAGGACCGATGTTTTTGCAATAGATTGGTTGCATTGTGTCGACCAGGGGGTCGCGGCGGACTATTTGGGCTCTTTGATGCACACAATCCTCAAGGAAATCCCCGGAAGCCCAACAGAGAAACTGGCTTGCTTGTTCAAACATGTGCAGGATTTTTACAGACGGAGCAATGCTGAGTCCAGACTGGACAATCTCACAGCCGGAATGATCAAAAAGCAAAATGCTGCAAGCCCAAAGCTACGATGCAAAGCTGGCGAGGCTAGGTGCCTCATCCCGTGGATCTCTGAAGCTTGTGAGCACTTCCTCACTGGGGACACTGCTGAGCATCGGGCAGCAACGGATGCAGGGAAGTATCTGCAAGAGTGCTATTCCCATTTGAGTCCTGCTCGTTTTGATAGGAATAAGCTAGCTGCAGCCTGCCGAAAGTTTTTGCTTTTGTATGCTAGCTTGGCTACCCTGTACAGCAATCAGTCGGTCTGGCGCTTCAAACCCAAGCACCACCTTTTCCTTCACCTCTGCGAGGAAAGCTTGGACTCCCCAAGCTTGCATTGGAATTATCGCGACGAGGACTTCGGGGGAAGCCTGGCCCATATAGGGGAGAGAAGGGGAGGGGCTAACACAGCCAATGTTTTGTCTCACATTGTGTTGCAAATGTTCTATGCCAAGCACCAGATCCCAATTTTCGGCCCTCTGTAACAAACCAAGATCGAAGGGGGGGGGGGCTTGCACAGCCCATGCTTGCATGCAGTCTCACCTTGTGTTGCGAATCTTTTGTGCCAAGCAACAGGTGCTTAATTGCTTTCGGCACTCTGAGAGAAACAAAGATCTCCATTGCACTGCAGGCATGATATATAGCTGCTCCCCTGGGGAGTGCTGCATTTCATGCTTCGGGGGCATGCAATTTTCATGATCTACTTTCGTGAATGGTTTTTGCTTGATGTTGCATGGCATGTGTGTGTGGTGTGTGCATGGTCTGTGGGGTGTAGTGTGTGTGTGTGTGTGTGTGTGTGTGTGTGTTGTGTGTGTGTGTGGGGTTGTCTGTGTGTGTGTGTGTGTGAGGTGTCTGTGTGTGTTGTGTGTGTTGTGTGTGTTGTGTGTGTTGTGTGTGTTGTGTGTTGTGTGTGTGTGTGTGTGTGTGTTGTGTGTGTTGTGTGTGTTGTGTGTGTTGTGTGTGTTGTGTGTGTTGTGTGTGTTGTGTGTGTTGTGTGTGTTGTGTGTGTTGTGTGTGTTGTGTGTGTTGTGTGTGTTGTGTGTGTTGTGTGTGTTGTGTGTGTTGTGTGTTGTGTGTTGTGTGTTGTGTGTTGTGTGTTGTGTGTGTGTGTGTTTGTTGTGTGTGTTGTGTGTTGTGTGTGTTGTGTGTGTTGTGTGTGTTGTGTGTGTTGTGTGTGTTGTGTGTTGTGTGTTGTGTGTTGTGTGTGTGTGTGTGTGTGTGTTTGTTGTGTGTGTTGTGTGTTGTGTGTTGTGTGTTGTGTTGTGTGTGTGTGTTGATGTGTGTGTGTTGTTGGTGTCCATGTGCCACCACATTTAACCAATGTTTTTTGCACGTTAATTAAGGAAGGTGTACCTTTCTTATAATTAGGAACCTTTCTTATTTAAAGTTTGCTTAAATAAGCACGAAAGTTAATTAAGCAACATTGGGCTCTCTGGGTAAGGGAGACTCTGGTCCATGAAGAGTTCACGGAGGCGATCATCCGCTTGCATGAGGAGAAACTTGGGATCTCCCAAGAGAAGAGAGACTTTGGCCTGCCACCGGTGGATGATGGCGGCGGAGAACAGTGGAGCTAGTGGTATGATGAGTGGAATGGCGAAGAGGATTATGACCAAGACCAGCGCGGAGAACCCGCCGAAGACATCGATCCAACCGAAGGTGAACGTGCAGTGGATGAAGGATGTGAAACCGACCGAGATCGTGAAGACCCTCGTACCCCGCAACAGCGAGCGGCCACTGGCTCATCGCCCAGCCGACGAGATGGTTCACAGCGAGTTGCAACGCCAGTGCCATCTGAGATACCGGCTGTCCAGGAACCCATCGACGAGCTGTCGGTGGCGGACTCGTTCATCATGGGCGTGCTTCGTGGATGGAGGCTACTGCAAGCCGCCGGGCTGAGTGCCGAGGAAAGCGTGACATCCTCAGCTCGACGAAGAACAGCCTGGACTACGAAGTTGTGGCATCGGCCTTGCAAAGCTTGTGGGATGAGCAGCTGCTTGGGCAGCGTGGTGGCGGCCATCATGGTGGTGGTGGCTACTCAGCCCACTTTGCGGAGTACGACGACCAGGACCACGAGGCCTACTACCAAGATTGGTGGGATGACGATGATGGCTGGTGGATGGACAGCTACTATGCCCAGGGCGAGAACGACTGGTGGACCGACGACCACGAGAACTACCAGGCGGCAGCAAACGAACATCCTGATGATGGAGGCGTGGTCGATGAAAAGCTCCAGGAGCTACAGAAGGCGGAGAAGATGGCGGAAGCATTGGCCCTGGAAGCACAGAGGACATGGAGCGATGCCCAGAAGGCGACCCAGGCCTTGCGGAAGGACAGAGGCTTCGGGGCCACGGCGCAGATGGGTGGTTCGGGGCGATGCTACATCTGTGGTGGCAACCACTTCATGCGTGAGTGCCCGGACCGCCGTCACCCCAGCAAGGGCAAGAGCAAGTCCAAGTACGGCTACCACATGAGCGCCGACGACTTCAACGGCTACTACATCGGCAAGGGGAAAGGAAAGGCGAAGGGCAAGTCCAAGAAGGGCATGTGGCTGGAAGGACAGGCGATCTGGAAAGGGAAGAGCAAGGGCAAGAACAAGGAGAGTGGCCTGAGAACCGTGAATGTCTACGCACAAGACCTCTTCCTAGGAGGACTAGAGTTGACGGATGTGATGGAGATGGCGTCGGCAACCACTACGCCCTTGAGTCCCCAGCAGGGCATGATCGATTGTGGCGCCACGGCATCCGCGGCACCTGAGGCGGTAGTCAAGGATTTGATAGCAGCTGTTCTCACTCAGGACAAGGGAGCCCGCATCGAACTTGACCAGTCCTCGCGCCCGTATTTCTGGTTTGGCAATGGGAAGTGGGGACGTGCACTATGCAGAGTACATCTCACGAGTGATGTTAGTGGTAGCCCCCGACACTTTTCCTTGTACACCCTTCCCAATCCTGCCGAGTATTACCAAGCTCAACTCGATAAGCAAGCCCTCGTGCCTGTCTTGGTTGGCATGGATTACCTTGGACGAAAGGGTGTTGGAATGATGATAGACTTTGCGACAGGCCTTGCCATGAACACCAAGGAGCCCAAACCTGAGATATATCAACTCCAAGTCAGCCCCAAAGGCCACTACACCCTTGACATTGTGGAGTACCTAACCAATGGCCAGCGAAATCTAGATGGACATGCCCAAGTACTTGTACGCCCCCAAGCAAGCCGTGGTCATGCTCATGTTGAACATCAGTTTCTGGAGCTAGGGACGCTGTGGATGAGCATGACGTGCAGGGACGAGGAACTCGATGAGCAAGAGTTACAAGCTGCCAGGGATAGGATGTGGAGTATGTATGAACATGCGCATGCATGCCAGCTTGCGCAACCTGCTGCACCAACAGCCACGTCGGCTTCAATGTGTGGTGCTGCAGTAGCAACCGCATCCTCGACGACTTCCTCTTTTCGTTCTGTGCCTGATGGCGGCATATGCCCCTCGGCAGCTGGCGCCCGAGCAGGAGAAGATTGTGGTGACCGGCATCAAGGAGAAGACCCCAAAGGCCAAAGCTCGACCGCTGGATCCGTCGAGAGCTCTGGAGGGCGACACGAGAGATCCGCGGGCATCATCAAAGCAGTGGCCATGCTACAACCGGCACGTGGCGGACACCCCCAAGCAGAACCCCCACGGCCAATGGACACATTGCGCAGTGTGCGACCTGAGGTTGTCCTACGTGCCAAGGAGCGGGTCACATGGGGCGACAACGATGGTGAAGAACCCCGAGATGGTCCGGCGGATGCTGACCGAGCTGCACCCCCTGATGGGCGACTTTCAGCCAACAGCGACTATATGTCGTGCGATGCAACGGAAAATCGATGCGGAGGAGCAGCTCATGGCGGCCATTTCCGAGGTGAAGAACCCTGGGATGAAAGTCCGCGCAACAACACGACCAACGCCGACTACAACCTCGGGAAGCCCACTGACGACCGGCGAGTCATCGACGGGAAGCTGGCAACTGGCATCCGAGACCGAGGATCAGAATCTGGCCATGGCATACGAGATGGAGCGGGGCGGCCAGTAAGGGGTGAACTACCGCTCTTTGCCGGCAAGCAAGTGATGAAGATGGCGACGCTGATGACAGCCGTGCTGGCCAACCACCTCATGGGATTGCACCTGGATGGACGCGATGGTCTCTGGGAAGTAGCCTGTGCACCTCACAGCTGGTTGAGCGAAGCAGCCCAAGAGCAAGGGTTGTGTCCAAGACGAATCAACCTCGCTGCTGGTTACGACCTCTACAAGAAGGAGACATGGTGTCGGCTTAAGGCTCTACGTCAAGTACACCGACCTCGACGCATCTGGCTGTCTTTGCCATGTACCAAGTGGTGCGCTTGGACAACGGTGAACTATAACACGCCGGAGAAGATGGAGCAGCTGGAGGCGTATCGACGTCGAGAACGACGGCTCCTTCGTGAAGTACGGTTCTTCGTCAAGGAAACCGTGGATGAGATTGAGGATGTCCAAATCTACTTCGAATGGCCATACCCCTATGCTGGATGGCGTGAGGAAGCACTTCTGGGCCTACAACAAGACCTTGAACAACGTGGGGTTCCCTGGCTTTCCTGCAGAATTGATGGCTGTAACTATGGCATGAAGAATGCGACCGGTGATGCCTTCCTCAGGAAGAAATGGATGGTGAAGACCACGGACGAGCTGTTCCACAAGAACTTCAGGGCGAAGGTGTGTCCTGGGAATCATGTTCATGCTGTCATCGAAGGCCAGGAGACCGAAAAGTCCGCGTACTACCCTTGGAAGTTGGTCCAAGCCATCACACGTCACTGGAAGGCGCAACATGTTCCAGGCCGGCATCTTCAAATGTTGCTCTCCCGGGAAAGCGTTCAGGACTCTGATGAAGATGATGAGAAAGATGTTCTTGTCAGCCGCATCCCCAGACCTGTGGCTGAGCTGGATTCCGAGTTCGAGGCAAAGATTGCGCTTGGCGAACAGGATTTTTCGTTCCAACGATGTGAGGCAATTCTGGTTCTGATGCAGGACGCCAAAACAAGCCGTGGACCCATGAGATCGCGGGGGAGCCAGGCTGGAGTCACCTATCAGATGTATGGGGCATACTCACATGGTGGCCTGCATGGGATAACCAAACATACCTGGCAACACCCCTGGACATGTCGCTACCTGAATGCCTTCATCAAATCCCGAGTGCCGAACCAGACCTGGACCAGCATCATGATCATGTACACAATTTCAAGGAGTCCGTGAACATCCTGGTTGGAGTTAGTGCCTACGCCGGCGGGGAACTTTGGCTACATGGTGAAGCCCCGCCTGGAGTACCGAAGGTGAGTTGATGGCATGGTGGGCAGCTTTGGAGCGGCTACGAGCTTTCCACAAGGAATCAGGTGGTGATCTTTGATCCTGATCAATGGCATGCAACGCAAGCTTGGACTGGATACCGGATCACCATCTCGGCTTTCACAACGCGGTCCATTCCACATTGGGATGCAAAAGAACTCAAGGATCTACGAGCTCTGGCGTTCCCACTCACTGGGGGAAATCTATATCCCCTAGAATCTCATGGCGATCCACTAGAATCTCGTGGCGATCCCCTAGAATCTCGTGGCGATCCCCTAGAATCTCGCGGCGATCCCTCAGAATCTCGTGGCGATGAAGTACCAAAGCTTCTCGACGGTGGACCCGTGCCCAAGGCAGAGCTCGAACGATGGACCGCCAAGGTTGCCAAATTCCACAAAACCGCTGGTCACCCATCCAACAAGAACCTGGGACGTATCGTGCAAGAAGCTGGTCATCCTCAATGGAAGATTGATGTGGCCAAGCGATACCACTGTCCAGCATGTGCCAGTCTGAAACAAGGAGGTACAAGTTCGAGCCAGATACCGCCGGCAGCGACGCATCAGCAGTACGAAGCCTGGGAAGCTGTGGGTGTCGATGCTGGTGAGTGGGTGCCACCTGGAAGCAAGAAGAAGGTGAAGTTCATCCTCATGGTAGATCTGGCTACAAAACTGAGAGTGATACAGCCCATCATGATCTACGACCTGTTGCAGATGAAGAACGAGTCGGGCAGCGATTTGATCAAGGCCGTGTCTGAACGCTGGCTGTCGACCTTCCCAAAACCGCGAATCCTTGTGCTGGACTCGGCAAAGCCATACGTTTCGGAGCAAGCGCATGCCTTTGCATCGGCCATCAATGTGGGACTGCACTACACGGCCGAGAAAGAGAGCTGGGCGCATGGAGCAGTGGAAGCCTCAGTGCAAGATGTCAAATCTACAGCTTCAGCCATCTACCTTGAGAACATGGATCAGGATCTTGAGGTGACGCTCCACTTGGCTGTCGCCGCGCTGAACTCCACCGAGTACACTGCTGGCTTCTCCGCGTTCCAGTGGGCCTATGGCAGGAACTACAACATCACCGATGAGGATGTGCGCACGTTCCAACATGTGGACCCCAAGATCGACTTCGCCCAACTTGTTGTGGCTCGCCAGCGAGCAGAAGAAGTGGCACGCCAGACACGTGCCCGACGAGTTCTATCGAAGCTTGGCAACACCTCTGTGCGGCAACCATTGCGGAACTACGAGCCCCTGGATTTGGTGAAAGTCTGGAGACGAGTCTGGCCGCAAGAACAATGCAAGGGACCTCGTGGCGGCTACAAAAAGTCCGGGAGACCTCACTGGATTGGGCCAGGACGTGTGGTGTTCTCTGAAGTACTACCTCACCAAAAAGAATCTGGAGGAAAACGACACATTCTCTGGGTGTTGGTTGGAAATCAACTCCTACGATGCTCGGCGCACTCGGTGAGGCCAGTGACGGAGGTGGAGCGGTTTCAGTATGAGACCTCTGGGGCCGAGAATCCATCGATGTGGAAATCCCTGGCGGACATTGTGCCGAAGCGTGAGTACTATGACGTGGTGGATGAGGAGCCCGGAGAGAATGAGGTGGAGATGCCACGACTTCCGGAAGCACCCGATGATACGACGACGGTCGTGCCTATTCGCAGGGCCCGACGAAAGGTCACCTTCCAACCGGGTGACTACGTGGCGAAACCCGTGGGAGAGCGACTGATGGTGGACGATGGTGAAGATGAGGAACCAACAACGACAGCCACGACAACTTCCTCAAGTTCCACGAAACATGTTGGTGATGTGAATGATTACGAACTGCCGGAACCGAAGAGAGCTCGTTCGACAACAGATAGTGGCGGTTCTGATGCAGCTGGTGAGAATTGGGTGGAACAGTTAATGCTGGAGGCGAAGCAAGAGGAGGAAATGGACCTCTTCAATGTGATGGACAATGTGGAGGAGTTCCTCAGAATTGAGTTCGACCTGGAGAACCACATGAGCAATCGACAGAAGAAAATGATGGAAAGGAACCCGGTGACCTTCATAGTGAAGAAAATGAGGGACTGCGAGGTGAACATCAGCCGTCTACCCGAACATGAGCGACCGTTGTTCTCGAGGGCAAAGGCAAAGGAGGTGGATTCGTTCTTGAAGAATGAGGCGGTGAGGAAGTGCTTGGATGATGAGGAGATTAAGAAGGCCTACGAAAGCAGTCGCATCGTCAAGGCGCGCTGGGTGTTGACATGGAAACTGGTGCCACCTGAGGACCGACAGGAGGCCCTTGATGATTCCCAGAAGAACCCGGCGACGTTGCACACGAAGGATGGCGCTCGAAAGGCCAAAGCTCGCATCGTACTACTAGGGTTCCAGCATCCAAGCCTGCTGGATCCTTCCTTCAAGACAGCGAGCCCAGCGCAGTCGAGTCTTGGTCGCAATCTCCTGTACACCATGGCGGCGCACCATCAATGGGAACTTGAAGGGCTGGACTTGGCTACAGCCTTCCTGCAGACGCAACCCACAGAAGCAGATCAGGAGCTGTGGACGACAGGAGTGGAAGAGCTTCGTCAAGCACTAGATGTTGGCGCGGAAGGGATTATGAGAATCCTTCGGAACATCTGCGGCAGCACGACGGCACCTCGTGGACTGTGGCTAGCTCTGCATAAGCGATTGACAGAGCTTGGAGCGCAACCGGTACTTGGAGAGCGATGCTTGTGGGTTTGGTTGTCAAAGACCGACATGGATGAGGACCACCCGAAAGTGATTGGCAGCATGGGTGGTCATGTGGATGATTTTCATCGAATTGGCGATGGAACTTCGGCCGAGTGGTGTGAAATCAAAGAGAAGATCAACAATGCCTACAAGTGGGGAATGACAAAGAAGAACTCCTACCGCCATGCTGGAACTGATGTAACGACGGTCAAGGACAAGAATGGCTTCAACAAGATCGTGGTGGATCAGTCGTATTACATCGAATCGATTCAGGACATCGAGATTGAGCCTGATCGTCTTCGACAAAATGGTCCTCTAGAACGACGAGAAGTGGAGGCCTGCCGAACCACGCTGGGAGCACTCCAGTGGGTGGCCATACAAACCCAACCTCAGCTAACAGCCCGCTGCAACCTTCTTCTCACAGAAGTGGTGACGTCCGGAACCTTGGAGACCGCGCGGGAGATACAGATGATGGTGGGGGAAGTCAGACAGAATCCAGTAAAGCTGGAGTTCAAGAAATTTCCCCAGGCCAAGCACTGGACGGAGGTAGTCTTCATCTCCATGGGCGACCAGGCGCACAACAACCGGCCGAAGGGTGATTCAACCGGTGGCTTAGTGACGTTGGCTGCAGGACCTGAATGTCTGAGTGGCCAGGTGTGCGAGATGTCACTGCTGGCATGGCGCAGTTGGAAGCTGAAAAGGAAGGCGATTGGATCGAACGACGCCGAGGTGCAGTCGATCTTGGAGGCGGAAGATCATAACTTCCGGACGAGACTGTTATGGTCGGAGCTTCATGGGGCCGGAGGACTACAACATCGCCGTGAACTTCGTCGCGATTTGGTGGAGCTCACGGAGAAGCAAGTCCTGAAGGTGAAGGGAGTGTTATGCACGGACTCCCGAGGAGGTTACGACGCGGTGGAGCTGAATGAGTCGCCGTTGCTTGGGCTGAGCAACATGCGCTCGGCATTGCAGGCGTTCCAGCTTCGGGACAACCTAAGCAGAGCTGGGTGTGAACTTCGTTGGCTGGCATCGGACTACGACCTCGCTGATGCCTTGACAAAGAAAAGAATGGACAGCCGCATCGGCCTTCTCAAGTTCTTGAAGACTGGTGTGTGGAGCATCAAGTTCGACCCCGACTTCACAGCCGCCAAGAAAGGGAAGAAGATAGGTAAGAGTGCTGTAGATGCTGTAGACAAGCATTTGTTTGGGGACCCGAATGATCACTGGCTGTCTGCATCTGACTCCTTTTTGGGGTGGTGCAACATGTATAGCTTCAATCAGATGCATACCCCATCTCCATATGCTGCCAGTGGCTTGAGGGGCCCCTCGTAGCTACCTGACTTTGCCACTGAGCCATCGGACCGAGCTTGCGTGCTCGTTGGAAAAGGTGTGAGAGCGTGGAGCTCTTGGTGCACTGAAGTGTGGAGACCCTGTTGAGCCCGATACGCCCCTACCATTGCAGCACCCGCTGCAGGTTGTCATAGTGTTTTCTGTTTGGTCGGTTTTGGGTTGTTGTGGTATTGTCCGTTTGGTCCGCTTGGGTGGTTTTGGGTTGTCATGGTACTTCTCAACCAAAACATGGTACCATTGCATTACTAGTCCGCTTTTTCACGCTTTTCAGATCTATTCAAGCTTCTCCAGCGTTACAAATCCCGCTCTCAGATGCATGTCTCGGGTTGGTACGGCTGCCATAACGTCTTGATTTCTGGATAATTTTACGAGTCTTCCCCTATCGTTAGCAAAATCCGTCAAAGTCTTGCCACCAATTATCTGGGAGTCATTCTTATAAATATTAGGACGTGAAGTTCAATTCTTTTCTATTTACTCTGATCTTTGGTCCGCATTTTCCGTCCACGTTTTTCTCGATATTCCCTAGCTTCTTTTAGAGATTGGCAGACGGATATGTCGTCGATAGAATCGACGGGTCCCCTCTAGTACTTAGTATTTGTGGGAGCAGAAGTCTCTCGCCATTTTCGACCTTCCAAGGTTTTCCTTCTATGGATTCAATCGGGAGTAGAAGTTTCTCGGATCTTCCTTTATTTACTTAATGCTTTTGGGCGCACATGCCGCTCGCGCTTGTCTTAATGAATTGATATTCAGAGAGGATTCTCATATATCCTGCAGAAATGTCGCGAAATTGGGCGAGGTCCAAGGGGCTATTGGTCGTTTCCTCCATACGAATGGGACGGGAATCTTGTGATGCTTTTTTATTTGGATCGAATCTCCTGGGTAGTTTCGGCCGACTCACTCAATATATTCTTAATTTTGATAATATCTGATGTGTCAGGTTCAACCCCCGCGTAGGTGTTGCCGAGCTGCTTTTGCGGTCGCGTGACGAGTTGATGCTGAGGTAGACACTTCGTAATATTTTGAGATACAGAAGATTTCCCTTTGTAGAGTTTTGTTTTCTCGAGATTGCTAGTGAATTGGGGATACTGGCGGGTGTTTCAATTCACGATCGAGAATCTCGGGATGACGAAAAAATCTTTCTTTCTTTTATGATCGATTGGACGATATTCAATTCGTATTTCTGGGAAAAAAATTTCTCGCACGGTTACTTTTAGATGGAGATTGACCACGATATTTTGTGGTTTTTGACGATCTTATTCGGATCTATATAAGGATTTTGAAAAAAAACAGGAATTTTCCCAGATTTCATAACTAGATTAATCCGAACGACGGCGCAAGAGACGTATACTCCCAAAAGCACCAATTAAATATGAATCCTCCATAGAGACGAAAATAATGAAGAGAGACTGCTGTAGCCTCGCAATGGACGGAGAGAGATTTGATGCTCGACCACATCCCAAAAGAATTAATTGAACAACCAGCGTCTCTGATGCTTTGTGGAACCTTCGTTGTCTTCTTCTACTTTTCGTCTTTCTGGGATGCTTCTTTAATTGGGGGTGGTGGCGGGTTTTTGTGCACGTCGAGGTGTCTTGGAGAGCACGAAATCTTGGTTGTTTGGTCTCGTTTTTGTTTCTGGGGTTCTCGGACGCAGAAGACGTCGTATTCTCTTAGTATTATGTCTCCTTTCTTAATTGGCGCTTTTGGGAGCAGAAGCCTCTTGCTCCCAGAAGACACATCAAATTCTTGTCTTCTATAGGGATATTGAATCTATTAAGCTCTGATGACCACAAAACACCATCCAGACGAGTCCTCAAATTCTCTTCCATGCATTCAAACGCCCTTCACCACCCCGAATTAGAAAAGAACTTGGAGACTCGCGTCACGATCACAAACAAACCGAGACCCCAGCAAATGGCCATAGACTCAGCCAACTCAATCAAATCTTGGCTCATTCAATAGGCAATAATCCTATATAAAAGGGATCAGGCTCACTCAATAGGCGATAATCCTGCGCAAAAGGGATCATCCTGACAACAAGCCATTGCATCTACGACCCATAGATCCTTTCATGAATCTCGTACGCCGGACTACCACCACACGTCTGCATACACGCCCGGCGTTGCTTCTGAAACGTGAGACGCAATCCTCTTTGCAAATCAATCGAGATGCGAATGCACAACGTGCGTTGGGTACGACCCTTCTGCAATCCCTATTTCGTATCGAGCGCCTCACAAATCATCTGCAAGTGGCGTTGTCCTTCCAAGGCCAAGCCCCCCGTAACTTCGAAAACGATCGGCTCATACCCCACATTCATGGCTTCGCACCGTTTCCCACAATTTGTCCCACAATCCTTCAAATCGAACTTACGTTTAGCATACGAATTTGCCGCTGAAAGCTCCACACTCGCTAAAGTAGCCAAGTTCGTAGCAAGATATAGAGACACAATAGCAAAATCGAATGTTAATCGTGGGAATTGTCGCCAAGAAGGCGCGACGATAGAAGGGGTCGTCATAATCAAGACATCTGCGGGACGAAGTTGTGGATCAGATGGTAATAGGTAATAATCCAATTGGTTCCAAGTTAGGTCGTATCGATACACAGTGTTACGCAATGCGTTGTGCATCAATTGCTTGTATCCCGATGCCATACACGCTAGACAATGGTGTCCACCATCATCGCACGCATGTGTGCACATCGCACATCCACCTCCATCAAGGATGGGCATACCCAACCGCAAGCGCACGGCATCTCGCAACACCTCACTCTGAAGAAGAGAATCCGCCGCCATACTTGGGGTCGCACACAACCATCCATCCGCCCATGGAGCTGCAAAGGCACGTAAAAGTACTTGATTGAGGACATCCGATTGTTGCAACAGAACCTCCTGTGTCTTCTCATGCAAGAATGCCAAAAGATCGCGCGAGGGCAAACTAGCAGTCGCATCTTTGATAGTACCAGTATGGGGACCCACGAACGGCTCCAAATGAAGGACGGCTGCGCTTTCAAACGATCCAGAACCGGCAACATTCCGAGCGCAGCTTCCCTTGTCGCCCGCCGAGAGGTGAGATACACAAGATCAACAAGTTGCACGACATGCATGCCTTGCTCAATACGTCCGATCCCAATTCCAAGTCCTCCCAAACGAATCGGCAACCGCACCTGCAACCACTGATCACGCGTCAACGATTCCCCAAGGATACTTTCAACAACAACTCGTATACGATCATGACAATAATCGAACAAAGGTTGCAAGAACGTTCTAGGTGCAACCCGACACAAGTATTGTACGCGCCCAAACGATGCAGTGAGTCGCAGCAAATGCAACGCAACGTGACGTTGGGGTAAGTCCTCCAAACAAGAATACAATCTTGCCAACTCGAGTTGTTTGTTTTGTCGAAACTCCTTGAGAAAGGCATCTGACCCCGTCACCGGCGCCTTGAGCACGACCACATCTGTGCCAGTTACAACACGAACTCCGAGGGCCTGAAATCCCGAAATATCCCCCCTAAAGCCGTCGCCCGCCAACAAATGCAATGTACACTTTGACAGGTCGAAATGTATGCCATATGTCTCGGCCAACTTCAATTCCTGACGGAAGGCCTCCAAGACATCCGCAGCGTCGCAACGGCAATTGGCTCTGGCTTCCGCCGCCCATCGAACACGCGTCAAACAAAACAACGATCCCATCAAGGGGCAACCTTATTGTCCACGGGATGATTGCTCCCCCATATCTCGATAAATGAAATGGGTTGGGACCTCATAACAATAATCCACAAATCGGCTGGATGACGACGCCCATTCAGCGCAATCTCTCAAGAATTGACTTGGCAATATCTCATTAAACGCATTCTTCACATCTTTCTACAACAAGACATCAGAAAGACGATGTCAATTACGAAAAATCCACTCACGAGTACTATGAACGATGACATCAACGTCATTTTTGGTTCCGACTACAACTTGACGTGGATCCAAACGATCTCGAATCGCTGCCCGGTCAATCAAGAAAATCGTCTTGGAGTCTTGAAAGTCAACTTGCACCAAGTACATCCCATAACGATGGGTCTGGTATCCCCATCAAGAAGAATAATCTTGCCCATAACATCAGCCTTATCGACCCCAATCAACTCATCGCCGCCATCCACGCGAGAAGATAATCAAGGACTCGCCCATCAGCAAACAACTGCACAAAATCTCACAACACCAAGGTAAATGGGGTGTCTTCAATTCCTCACAAAAGCTCACGAAAGAGAAATTTAATCACTTAAAATAAAGCAGGCAATAGAAGCTCAACAAGTTATAAGAGACATTAGATATCTTAGCCCCGCCTCAAGGCGAACAATGACCTTAGACATCAATTTATCCACACCTACTCCGTGTCCAACACCAAACCAAGAATTAAGTATTTATAATTCATGAAATCTCAATCTTTAATTTTTTTAGATAATCGTATTATCTCTATATACATTCTCCTTTAGTATTTCGGAACGTAGATATCACAAGCGACTTCTATTCCCAAAAAATAAAATTAATAAAAAAAACTAGAGGGGACCCGTCGATTCCATCGACGGCATATACGTCTGCCAATCTCTAAAAGAAGCTAGGGAATATCGAGAAACGTAGACGGAAAATACGGTCCAAAGATCAGAGTAAATAGAAAAAAATTGAACCTCACGTCCTAAAATAGATAAGAATAATTCCCAGATAATTGGTGGCAAGACTTTGACAGATTTTGCCAACGATAGGGGAGGATTCGTAAAACTATCTAGAAATCAAGACGTTATAGTAACCGTACCAACCCGAGACATACATCTAAGAGCGGGATTTGTAATATTAGAGAAACTCGAACGCACCTGAAAAATGTGAAAGGGCGGACTGGTACTACAATAGTACCATATTTTAGTCGAGAAACAAAACTAAATGAATCTAAAATTGATCAAACAGACAACACCATAACAACCCAAAACCACCAAAGCGGACCAAGCGAACAACACCATAACAACCCAAAACCGACCAAGTAGACACCGTGACAACGAACATCCGACCAAACAGACAACACCGTGACAACCCAAAACAAACAGACAACACCATGACGGCCCAAAACCGACCAAGCAAACAATACCATAGCAACCCAAAATCGTCCATACAGACTAAGCGGACAACACCATCACAACCCAAAATCGCCCAAGCCGACAACACCGTGACAACCCAAGCGGACCAAGCGGACAACACTATGACAGCCCAAAACCGACCAAACAGACAACACCATGACAACCCAAAACCACCCAAACGGATCAAGCGGACAACACTATGACAGCCCAAAACCGACCAAACAGACAACACCATGACAACCCAAAACCACCCAAGCGGACAACACCGTGACAACGAACATCCGACCAAACAGACAACACCGTGACAACCCAAAACCACCCAAGCGGACCAAGCGGACAACACTATGACAACCCAAAACCGACCAAGCAGACAACACCATGACAACCCAAAATCGCCCAAGCGGACCAAGCGAACAACACCGTGACAACCCAAAACCGACCAAGCAGACAACACCATGAGAGCCCAAAACCGCTCAAGCGGACAACACCATGACAGCCCAAAACCGACCAAGTAGACAATTTCGTGACAACCCAAAACCACCCAAGCGGACAACACCATGACACCCCAAACGACGAAGCGGACAACACTGTGACAACCCAAAACCGCCCAAGCGGACAACATCGTGACAACCCAAAACCGACCAAGCGGACAAGACCGTGACAACCCAAAACCACCCAAGCGGACCAAGCGGACAACGCTATGACAGCCCAAAACCAACCAAGCGGACAACACCGTGACAGCCCAAAACCACCCAAGCGGATCAGGCGAACAAATTGTGATAGCCCAAAACCGACCAAGCAGACAATACCGTGACAGCCCGAAACCGCCTAAGCGGACCAAGCGGACAACACCGTGACAACCCAAAACCGACCAAGCGGACAGCACCGTGACAGCCCAAAACCGCCCAAGCAGACAACACCGTGACAGCCCAAAACCGACCAAGCGGACAACACCATGACAACCCAAAACCACCCAAGCGGACCAAACGGACAATACCACAACAACCCAAAACCGACCAAACAGACAACACCATGACAACCCAAAACCACCAAAGCAGACCAAGCGGACAACACCATAACAACCCAAAACCGACCAAGCAGACAACACCGTGACAGCCCAAAACCGCCCAAGCGGACAACACCGTGACAACGAACATCCGACCAAACAGACAACACCGTGACAACCCAAAACAAACGGACAACACCATGACGGCCCAAAACCGACCAAGCGGACAGCACCGTGACAACCAAAAACCGCCCAAGCGGACAACACCGCGACAGCCCAAAGCCGCCCAAGCGGACAACACCGTGACAGCCCAAAACCGACCAAGCGGACAACACCGTGACAGCCCAAAACCGCCCAAGCGGACAACACCGTGACAGCCGAAAACCGACCAAGCGGACAGCACCGTGACAGCCCAAAACCGCCCAAGCGGACCAAGCGGACAACACCGTGACAGCCCAAAACCGACCAAGCGGACAGCACCGTGACAGCCCAAAACCGCCCAAGCGGACAACACCGTGACAGCCCAAAACCGACCAAGCGGACAGCACCGTGACAGCCCAAAACCGCCCAAGCGGACCAAGCGGACAACGCCGTGACAGCCCAAAACCGACCAAGCGGACAACACCGTGACAGCCAAAAACCACCCAAGCGGACCAAGCGGACAACGCCGTGACAGCCCAAGGAAAGCCCAAACCTCAATCCGGACAATTCCTAAAATTCCGGGAATTTTCAGCTCCGGGGAATTCGACGGGGCGGCCGCAGAGCGAAAATAGGGGTCGAGCCCGTAGCCTTTTATAGGGATAAAATAGTAAGAGAATAAGACGCCTTCTATATCCAAGTACCCCAGATCCAAAAATGAAACCAACCAACCAAATTTTCGTGCTGGAGCGACATACCATCTAAAAATACAAAATCTGAAAGTATTCTTGAGAGTCATATCATTATTGACCGGAAGAAAATCGACACAACAGTCGAATCATTAAAAACGAAATAAGATCCTTATATAATTACTATCATCACGCACCATCGTATTTATACCTAAATGAGTCGAAATATATAAATCGAAGAATATAATCCTATTTCAAGCAATTAATCGAACGAAATGAAATATCATGTTTTAAATATTGCACAAGCATATCAATGCCGCCTCCAGACTTCCCGGGCATGAGCAAGTGCCCTTTCGGATTGCAGGGTTCAGACCCCTCAGCCGCACCAGGACCTGTGTGGAAGCGTCGGAGCCAAGCCACAACGTGACGTTGAATCCTAGATTCCTAGATCTCGGGGACAAGCGTTCTCAGGCAGGCTGTCGGTCCTCCGTGCGACAAACAGAGACTTTGATATCGTGCGTTAAAATCGCCAAAAGGAAGGTGTGCCTCTGCATCACCACTGCTTGCGGCTGGCTCGTGGCCAGATTGTAGGTGTTGCAGACCTGTGCATCAAAACTGAGAAACCGCCGCGCCAAAACAGAGACATGTCGGAGCTGGCCTGGCCTGCTTCTTCTCGCCGCGCGGGACCTGTCATGCCAGCGAGACGTGCTGTTTTCGACAATCCGGTCTTCGCTGCCTCGCCGTTGAGCACGAAGGGCGGCAACTTTGGCCACTCCTGCACCATATAAGCCCACAAGACACAACCCTCCAAACAAATTACACCAGACCCTCGCCGCGGTCCCCACGTCACGGTGCCTCCCGCTTCTTCGGGACAGGCGCCTGTACCGGAACCTCAGAATGGGTCCGACTGCTACAAAATAGTGCGGTTTGCGAGCGCAACTGCCGTGGCTCTGGCGGCTTGTGGCCTAGGCGTAGATTTTGCGGCGGCGGCGCGGCCTGGTCGAGCAGAAAGGTAGACTGTGGAAATCCCGCATGATTCACTCTACAGCTGAGGTTCTCACGCTCTGACCCTGCCAGTATAGCACGGCGGATCTTCTCCTGCTCGGCCCGCTCCGCAGGGGTTTCATCTTCGTGAGTGCGCTTGGTGCCTGCATGTATGCGACGTCGGCAATCATCACACGTAAGCCTGTAAGCATCTATAGCTGAGGTCCCGGACCACGCTCCGTCTTCACTGTGTCGAAGCCGAAAAAGGCCATCTGTCAGGCGGCGCAATCACCAGAAAGCGCAATGTAGAACGCACCGTTCCAACCTGAAACCAAGAAGCGGAAGTAGACGCGGAGATAGGATGCGATGCTGTAAAAGCAAAAGCTTTGCAGATGGAGCGGCACATTAGAAGGAGCACAGGCAAGGAGACACACGTGTACACCCTGTGGACATGTACATGCTTTGAGGTGCATGCTTTGAGGTTTGGGCTCGGGCGGGGCTCGACGGCGAGTTTTCTGGGTGGAAGGCGAAGAGGTCCAAAAGAGGGTCTGACTTTCGAAGTTGTGGAAACGAAAAGGTCTACAAAAGTGAGGCTGGGCCATGCGCATAAAACCAACCCGAGCATGTCGCGGACATAATTCGATCCATGTTTTTCACACACGGTCCGATCATGCGTGAGACGAAGCTAAACTGGCTGCACAACAGACTCTCACGGATCAAGCTCAGACCACTCCTACACACATTCAATGCCTGAAATCCGAATCCACGTCCTCCTGCAACGTTAAGGTTCGGGCTAGGAAGGGCGACAAATATGAAGCTAAATGGGAACCTCAGTTTCGATTGCGACTCGAGGATCTCCCGAAAAATGAACCCAGCGACTGTCTCATATACGGCACTGGCACGGCGTCAGCGAGAAGTGATTGCCACGTCAAGCAGTGATAATAATTTCTAAGTAGTGTTTTCCGAGACGAGAAATGAAATATAGATTGAACGACATGTGCGTCCAAAGCTTCCTTATCAAAAGAGTACGAGACAAGTCCATAGGCTTCGAACCCATGATTTGGGAGTCTACGGGGGGTCTGTTGAAGGAGAGTGAGGATGTGTTGTTGTCTTTGCGCCGCGCCGCGGACGAGAGGTTGGGGCTACGGAGCGGTATATCTAAAGACAAGTTCTGCGGCAGAATCTCTTTGAATTTGCAACGTGGCTTTCATCAGGCACGCGCGCAACAACGCGCCCATATGGCGCACATTGCGGCCCACGCTGCTGGCGGGGGCTATCGTGGCTGAGCTGTCGCTTGCCAGGTAGATGGTAGGAGATTTATTCAGTAGTCTATGATCGGGCTTTAGAGACTCGCTTTTGTCTTCGTACTTGGATTTGCTCCGCGCGTTCTCTTAATTCGGGGTGGTGGTGGGTTTGCCTTTTCTGAGAGTGCATGGAGCAAAGACGGTGAATTTCTTCATCGAGGCTCTATGTTCTTTATCTACGATGTTTCACTCGGACGCGGGGACTCTTGGACGCAGAAGTCGTTCAAATCTTGTCTCATATGATCTCGTTTATATAGAGGTCCTTCGTTTTAGATTGGATGATCATCTTCCGGATCTACTTTTGCTTAAGTAGTGCTTTTGGGCGCATAAGTCGCTTGCACTCGACCCTATAGAAGATATCGTCTCATATGTTCGATAATTCATTCTTTTGGAATTGTTGTTGCTGTTGTTGTTGTTCTGCCCTGCAGGGCGCTTTCGGCTGACCGCCAACTCTGGTCGTTCTTGTCTTGTGCACAGTGACCACTGAGCTGGGCTCCAGGCGGCTTTGCAGTTTCCGGTCCCGGATCCTGCAAAAAACTGCAAGCATGAGCGCCGTTTACCTGTGCCACAGGCACACACACACACGAAAAATTACAGTGATGACGGCGCCTCTTTCACAAGCTCCTTCTTGCCTGAAGCAGCACAAGCTGCTACAGTGCATCAGGCAGCTGGGGTGGACAGCTGAAGTGGACCGTCATGCCGAGGATGCGACTCTCGCCAAGGAAGTCTGACATGATCTGTGCAAGATCGAATGTTGAATTTCCCTACTGGCGAGCGTGAGCCAAAACCTTTGCATTGCATTCACATGAACGCAAGTCTGTGCTCTGCAGGTCTACGTCGTATAAATTGTGACAGTGTGGTGGCTTCGACCTCAGAGTGTTGCGCAAGCTGCAAGAATCTGCATTGATCTCAGACGGTTCATGCAAACTTCAGCGCAAAGAATCTCGTCTCTACGTGACGCATGCAGTTGCAGAATGTCACTACCACACGGCTGAAAGTTGAGACGCCCCTGAAGATCTCTCGCATTTTTGCCGTTTCCAGCTGGGCTTTTCCTTTTTGGGAGCCCTCTTTGGGAGCCCCATCTCGTCACGAAACCAGAGCATGACCTCAGCGGGCAGATGCTTGTAGCTATTTGCAGAGGCGTGCCAGTCTGCTTCGCTTGTCAAGGATTTTCCCCAAGTCTACAGTCCCCCCGCAAAGAGTTCGAGAAATAGCGGCCCGGACACGGAGGTGCCCAACGCATTGTCCACCATGAAGACGGACTGTGAGAAAATGAAGAAGATTGAAAGGGAATCAAAGCGGACAGAGGCTGACGTGGTGTGCTCAGAGTGTGCTGCGACAACATGTGACTACCTCGCTGTGCTAACAATGCCCAACGCGCGAGGTTCCCAGATGTTGCCAGGTTCGCACCTTGTGGTTGAGGGAGTCGATGCGGTCCAAGGACAGCTCGTTGAAGTAGGCCCCCTGACATTCGCATGCTTTGGGGCTCTGGCTAGGCAACCCGTCCGCACGCTTTTGGGCTCTGGCTACTACTAGGCAACAGGGGTTTTGTTTCGGGAAGGGCTCCTGGCTCGACTTGCCTTTCAACGAGCGTGTCGGGCCGGTAGGGCTGTTCAAGGCGCACGCCCCCACGCGTCCCAGGCGCGCACACGGTACCGGGCGCGTTGAGGCCGCACGCGGGGTCCCGCTTAGTACGCACAGGCCAATGTTTTCGAGGCCTCCGGAAGCCTCGCAAAGGGGGTCTTCGAGGCTTTTGCGCCCAACACGACGACCCTGTAGGGTCCAGGGTTCATCACCCAACATGACCTTGTCGGGTTCTCGGCTTGATTCACAGACCTTTCGAAAAATCAGGGCTTGCCACCCAACATGACCTTTTAGGGTTTAGGGTTTGCCAGCCAAAGTGACCTTTTAGGGTTTAGGGCTTGCCTGGCCTTCCAAGGTCAGCCCAGACACATGCACAGGCGCAGGTTTCCGGCACCCCGCGTGCACCTTGAAACACAAACCCCGCACGCAACTTCGACCTGGCGCCTTCGGCCTGGAGCCTGATTTATGACAGACTCCACCGCCGGCAAATGCGCGGACTGAGACCTCATGAGACCTCACTGACTGCCAGCCATGGCCTCTTTCGTCCACCGTGGCCTCATGATCGGCTCATCGTCTGGGTCCTCACGGAGGCAAACGGAGACATTAAGTCTTCTTCCCGGTGCTTCACAAAATCGAGCGACTCTTCGCACTGAGGTACCCGATTAAGGCCTTATTCTGTGCTTTGTGGTAAGCCCTGCCGCGCAGAAAATTGGCGATCTGACAGCAGCAAGGTTACTTGACGCTACTTTTTTTCCACAAATTGTTGGGGGCACGGGAGAGGCGACCGCAACGCAGGAACTTTACCTCGCCCAGCCGCGGGCGTCGGTTCCCACAACCCGGTGACTCTCCTCAGCACGCCCAAAGTTGAGCCCTCTCCTTGGCCTGGCCTCCGTCTTGCTCATCAAGAGAAAAGTGAGGAGAGACGCGTGCTTATTGCCTGACAGGTAATCCTGTGTTGCTGCGGAAGTGCCAGCACCACCAGATGGGTTTTTTGCACAACCCTTTGCGTCCATGTCCTGCTGGCTCGAGGACTGTCATGTCGTTTTTGAATAATAGCTGTTCCTCAGCCGGACCTACCTGTGCACAGGAGCAGAAGTCCTCGACGCGCAGCGTTTACACGGAACCAGAAGCCCTCAGCGCGGTCCTCAGGCTGCTCTGCCTCCTCATCGATGACCTTCTCTTGCAGCCTCACGAAGGGTCCCACTCTCTCGTTCTCGCCTTGCTCTCGCCTTGATCTCTCGCATTCTCTCGCACATTCTCAGCATTGTCAGCTGCAGTTCTCAGACAACTGCTCGCTCTCTCTCTCTCTCTCTCTCTCTCTTGTTTGCCGGGGGCGTGGCACCCTCGGGTCCCGCGCGCAGGGCGCAGGTGCGCTGCTCGGAGCCGACGCCCAGAAACTCCGTGATGCCCTTTCGCAGGAAGAGGCATGCCGCACCCAACTCCGCACTCATTTTGCACTCTCTCCCACTTCTCTATTTTTCTTTCCAAGGCCCCTAGTTCGCCCGCCACGGCAGCCGTACCAACGCAAGCCAGCCAGCACCACGTGACCAAAATCAAAATGCCATGTGCTCGGCATTGCTATGAACATGTCGGCTGTTTGGGCAAACCATGCCGAAAATCAAAATGCCAGGAAGAATTTCCGTCTTGCTGCGCGTGCGTTGGCCAAAGCACCTGTACCAGCACTAACCAGCCAGCACCCATGCCCGGTCATGCCCTAAAATCAACACGCAAGGAACGATTTCAGGCAAAACGCAACACGCAGTGTTGTTGCGACACAAACCAGCTTGCCTTTTGCTCAGCACTCCACTTCGTCCGCCTTTGTGTCGCTCGCTCTGTCAACGGCTCTGGCAGCTCGCTCGTCTTGATGCTCTACAACGCTCACTCTCTCCCTTCTATCATCTTTCTTTTCCCTCCGATCTCTCGCACCTGGTAGGCAGCGCTCGAAGTGGTTCCCTGACCGCCAGTAAGGTGCCTCGTGCAACAAAGGAAAAACTCAGGGCAGGCATTGCGATTGTTTGCCATGTTTACTCCAGCTTAGTCAGTTCAGTCCTACAATTCTTCAAGATGGCCGCCTGAATGCTGCCAGCAGTGCTCAAGGAGTCAAGGAAACTTGTTGTCGTGTCTTCGCACTGGAACCCGTCAGGGCTGTGTGAAGCCGGTTAAGCCCCACAGCGCATGTTCGGTGCGTTTGCTGCAACATCTTCAACGTGCACTCTTGCGGGCCAGTTGCTGCACCAGGGGGAGCAGCTGCTGCAAGGGGTCACCAAGCAGACTGAACAGCGTTAGCAAAGATCGTCGCATTGGGGCTGTCGCTGCAAAAGCAGCCGTGTTTGTTGCTGGTCTTCCTCTGGCTCCAGCACGGGCCTCGGTGTGCGAACATTTTC